GCAGTTAGCAGAGAGCGTGCTTATAAGTGCATGTGTATGTATGTGTGCATAAAAGAAGTCCAGAATGATTAGAATATCAGCTTGGAGGGTTCAGGGTATCTCCTAGTCGAGCAGTCTCGACTGGAGCCTTCTTACTTGTTTTAATTGTTTCAAAATATTTTTATATTTTCTTAAATGAGTTTTGTATTTCATTTATATTTTTAAATACATCGAAATTGAAATTTTAGCCATACTAAATGGGTATTTTTATTAGTTTGGCTCAGGGTAGTATCTAGTCGAGCACTCTCGACATGAGAGTATGACTGGAAACTGTCACAGTAATCAAGCCTACTGAGTCTCAATGACAATGCAAAAATCCTCAATAGCAATAGGGAAAATAATGCGTTTCTCAAGTATTCGTCCATTTTTTAGTATTTTTTAAGATATACTCTCCTAATCGGGGCGGAGACAAATCCAACAAATCAAAAACCATGAAAATTGGTCCAGCAGATCTCGAGTCATAAGTGTTGTAACACATAACACGACTTTGTCTTATATATAGATGAAAAATAATTAATATTAATTTATTTCAGAGTTTGAAAGAACGCATTACCCAGACGTATTTGCACGTGAACGTTTGGCTGGTAAAATAGGATTGCCTGAAGCAAGGATTCAGGTGTGGTTTTCGAATCGACGTGCCAAGTGGCGTCGTGAGGAAAAATTGCGAAGTCAGAGGCGCACGCCAAATTCCACCAGTACAAATGGAACTTCAACCTCAACTTCGGCTACGACTTCATTAACTGACAGTCCCAATAGTTTGGGTGGCTGTTCATCTTTATTGGTAGGATCAGCAGGAAGTAAGTTTCCACTATTGATTTTGTACAGTTTGTGTCCATTCAGCCGATTGTCTGTAAGAACGTAAACCATTTCGCTGTTTTTAAAGTTAGTGAGTGGAAATTGAAAGCCTATTGGCACATCAAACTGCCTCTTATATACATACATGGCAAATAGGGAACTACTAAAATGTGTTAAAAAAACGACTAGGAGGTACCCGAAAACCTGTAAAAAACTGATATCCCAATCATTCTGCACTTTGATGCACACATGCACCTATACATTCAAAAGTACATATGTATGAATATTCCAAAGCAAAAGTCTCTAGTACTTGAAATACGTTTTTTACAAATTATGGGTGAAAGGGGCGCGGTATCAAAAATCTGTAATTTACAAAATCTGTTTATTCATGAAATGAATATTGTTTATTCATAAAATGAGTAATTCATCTAAAAGAAGATTGATTTTTTTAGACCATATTATTCGTGCTTATGGATGCTTGCGTATGTATGGGTTGTTTTTATGAATATCACTTCATCGCAGGGTATGAGAATCCCCTAGTTGAGCAGTCTCTTGTTTTACTTGTAGGAGTCAGTGGGTGTTAGGACCAGTTCAATTTGCATATGTACCTAAACTTTCTTATGTTAAGATTGTACTCTCTTATTTGTAGGTGGTTTGAACAGCTTGTCATCGCCCCACCCTATATCTACACCCACTGGCGGCCTTGAGACAACTGAGGCCCACCACTCCGCTAGTGGGGGAGGAGGAAGCGCACAGATTCGAAGTGGAGCGCATGACGTTGGTAGTGAATGTACTTCGGGTCTGGAGATTACGGATCATCGACATCAGCATCATCATCACGTTCCTCACACGCTCGTGCCGTCCATTTCTCCGCGGCTCAACTTCAACAGTGGCTTTAGCAGTTCAATGAGCGCTATGTACTCGAATATACATCATAATGCGTTATCGATGAGTGAGGGTTATAGGTAAGTTAACTTATCTGAAGGTAATTGAATAGTTTTAAAATTTGCATTCTTTTTTTTTGTGCGGTTTCTTCCATGCCAAGCTTCAGTCACGCAACAGTTGGCTCAGGCATCGCCCAACAAAGAGATCTGACCCCGCCCTCAATGTATCCGTGCCATATGCCATTAAGGCCGCCCCCCCTAGGGCCGCATCAACTGGTCTGCGTTGGAGGCGCTACAAATGAGAGCACTAGTGTCAGCAGTAGCCCTACAGTGAACATTAGCAATCCAGCTAGTAACAATTCAACTGGATACGAGTCCTTATCCGCTTATGGCTTGCCGCCCCCGCCACCAGCTCCAGCTTCGGCTTTGGGAACGTCTACCACAAATACTGCTATTAATGCTGCCCATCAACCGAGCATGGAGGCTCGTCCATCCACGTGCAGTCCAAGTCAAATGTGCCATGGGTCGGTATTTGGAAGCGAGAGTATTTCACCGGCTATGCCTTCTTACGCACACATGAGCTACAACTACGCCAACAGCCTGGCGTCTTCTGGTGGAGCAAATCCAACTGGCCCTCATAATTCACATGGGTCGGGAAAGCAACAGTTTTTTGCGTCTTGCTTCTACTCACCTTGGGCCTAAGTGCAGGCTTAGTACATAATTGATATAATTAATAAATCGCTATATAAAGCAGCTTTCATGCCATCAAACAAACTATTAAAATATTGTTTATGCCACATCTTTCATATCAAAGTTACACCTCGGAAACCCACAAAATTGAATTAACATATCTTTCAATGGACACATTAAATATGATTTAAGCATGATGGTTGTAAAAAACGGCATATATGTATTTCCGCCCAAAAATGCCACCAATCATTACAATAATTGGTGTGATTTGAAAATATAATTTTGAGAAAAGAATATGATGACCTGTTTTCTTTAATGACCGAGATTATAGATTGCAACTCGTAAATTTGAAAGAGAGAGAGAGAGAGAGAGAGAGAGAGGGAGAGAGTTTTAAATACAGCTTTATTTGATTAGCGCAAACGCAACGTTTAATACAATTTTCAATTTTCAATTTGGACGTATGCATAAGGGCCCTTATCAAATTTAAGTTCTGTAAATATTTTAATGAACTTGACTATGTTTTGGAAGGGGCCATCAAGATAATTGTAATTTGTGATATAACTCAATGAGCAAATAATATTGCAAAGTGGTTGCTAAGAGAGCGGTCCTCAAAGTATATAGAGGGTTAAATCGTTCGCGCAAACTTTGGCCACGATACGTATTCGTATTCATATATTCCAGCTCGGATTATAACCCCTGGCATGTTTGTGGAAAATGTATAATGAATTGTATCCGTATTATTATAACCTAACAGCATTATAATAATATGTAGATGCCATGCGAAAAGCAACAGTATTATACCTCACACATATTCCAATAAAATCGAAAAGTTTTTTTATACCCTGAGCCTATAGAAAATAGGAAATAAGGGTATAATGTTATTGTGAAGATATATGTAACAAGAAGAAGGAGGCGTGGCAGACCTCTTAACATACATATATATATTCTTGATCAGGGCGATGAGCTGAGTTGATATAGCCCTGTCCGTCTGTCCGTATGACGCGTCGATCTCAGAAGAATGAGAGCTAGAGACTTGAAATTTTGCATGCATACTCGTATATACCATACCACTAACCAGAGAACACATAGACCGGACAAGTAGTGTAAAGCGTTTTGCACACTTTTTTTCGGGAGTTATCTCCCAGACCCTTCGTATTTGCTCGGCTCCTCCATTTTTGGGTTCGGGCTACGAAAAAATACGAAAGCA